CATCCTACAGTATTTTTACAGTCTTTATTTTACAGTTAAAATATATGTTTATTAAATAAAGTCTAATGTTACAACTAATCATGGATCACTTTAATGTTTTATTCTAGTTTTCTGTCCTGTCATCTGTTTTCTTCCTCGTCGGCCTTTCATCCAGCCCCGCCCACTCACACCTGATCCTAATGTTTCTCCCCCAGGTGTTTCTTGTTTGTGCTCATTCGTCTCACCTTTAAATTCTGTCATGTCTTCACTTCCCTGTCAGACCTTTGTTCTGTATTGTGCTGTGTGTTCCAGCTTTAAGGTGTTTCATGTCCTGTGTTGTGCCACGTCCAAGCCTTGTGAGTTTCTTGAGCTGCCCCATCAGCACTTTTTGTTTAAATAAATGTTGATTTTTGTTTTTTTGAAACTGCCTGCGACATGGGTTCTTTCCTGCTAGAAAATCGTGACAGAAGGTCAGTAAATTGTGGACTGTGGTTGTGGACTGATTGATGGAAGCATCCTGTCTGAAGCAGGGGAATGAAATACGTCCTTGAGGACAAACTCCGAATGTCCAGCAGCTTCTGTGTCCTTCAGACTCTCTGTGGATGTTCCGTCATGTTTCAGGTGGAGGATAAAGGCTTCTTTAGTTTATTTATGGCTCCTCTTCACCGGACCGAGCTGGTGACCGCAGCACGAAGGATACATTTAAAATAAATCAGGACGGACATTTTTTATAGTCAGAGACAAACAGTGTAGACAAAAAGAACAGCCATCAGTTCTTCCACTTCCTGTTCTAATAATATGAGCTAGGACTTTTAATTCAAAATTTAATTATAAGTTTTATTATGAAACTTCCTGTTTTTAACCCTGTATTTATAGAARAATAATTTATTATATAACATTTAAAACCAAGATTTTTTGACTAAGTAGATTGACAGTTGGCTTGGACCAAAGTTTGAAAGTTGGCCCCGCTGTGCATCTGAGTTTGACCCTGTTCTACAGGATCTGTGGCGGCGGCCATGATGGAAACATGAATGGAAGAAAGGCATGCTTAAAATTCTCCACAGCAGAGTCCCGTCAGTCAGAGTTAAACTCTGAAGCGGAAGTTTTCTCCGGTGTTTTTGTGGAAACGTCTCCTGAYGGTTTGTTTTTAGAAACCTGATGACTGACGGCCTCGACGTGAAGAAAGTGGCGCCGAGCGTTCAGGTTGGTTCTGTTTGTCAGTTATTCTCCATCCTCGTGTCTGTTTCTGTTGAGAGAGAGAGAGAGAGAGAGAGAGAGAGAGAGAGAGAGAGAGAGAGAGAGA